GGGGGGAGAGCAATGGCGAACAGCTGACTGTCAAGACCAGGCGAGGCCACAAAACAACCCCTCCACGCGGCGCTCGCACCGCGTCAACGAAAACAAAACGGAAACAAAAAAATAAAAACTTGTTTTATCCGCAAACATTTTCTATGCGTGTGATTGGCCAGGACACGGAGGATAATGCAAATAATGCCCCCCTCCCATTAAAAAAAAATCTCACAAAATTCTTTAAAAGAAACGCAGTCGTTCTCTTGTAACAAACTATACACTATACCAACGACGGCCAAATAAATCGCGCAATCGAGCAAAGGCTCAGCTCCCATAGTAATGAAACTCGCGCAAAGTTTATACGCGCCTCAAATCGTTCGCCTTAATCCCTGTCGCGTCGTCGGCCCGCCGCCGCGGCCGGAAGCGCCTCGAGGTTCGCCACTTCCGGTTTGGAGGGCTATATCATAACAAAGTGTGCGGAGGAGGTCCTCCTCCCCGACGACCGCCGGCTGCGCGGCGGCGGCGCGACGGCGATTTTCTGGACGGAGCGGAATCAATTTCTGTCCCTTTCTTGGCGCGGCGGCGGTGCAACGGCGTAGCGGAGTCTGGGGGTCTGGGCTCCTGCAGGAAGAGCGCGCGGCCCTGTTCGCACACAGACACGGGGCGGCCATTCGTATCAATGAGGTCCGGGGGGGCTATTCAAGTCTCGCAGGCAGAGCCGAGGCACTGCCCGGCCGGATCGTAAAAGTTTTCGCCGTAAAATCGAGAAAGAGAGGGGAAGGGGGAAGGGAGCGCGAGAGGGAAAGCGCGCGCGGGGAAGATTGACGAAGACAACCTACAAGGCGACAAATAAGCAGGGGGTGAACTACCCAACGGCCCCGCGCGGCCCGCGGAGCGGCGCGGCTGAGCTGAGGTACACTGCCGCGGCCAAAATGGGCCGTTTCATCAGACTTGAGGACGGCGACGGCGGCGGAGGCGTCGTTGGAGGAAATCGCCGGAAATAAGAGGACTTGTCATCTTGATGGGAGTTGAATCCCTCGAGCAAAACCAAGCCAAGCAATCAGTCCTCCAGCAAAGTAAAGTCCATTCCCTATATTCTGGCAGAGCGGCTAGGCTTTGCTTTCCGGTCGTCTTTGTTAGGCTCATAAACACCGTGGTCGAAGGGACGATACCCGAAAGTTAGAGTGGCCAC